AACCAGGTCTTGAACACTTCAGCAGATCTGAAGGATGCAGCCCCTTATAGCAGCATCTCTTTGTGACACAGATCACCAACAGCCAGGCTGCCAAATCAACTACATTTCAGGTAATTGCACTTGGTTTTATGTCTCTGTAGTGTTCTGACAGTTTTGCCATCTTAGACTGCAATATAGATCACATATTGATGGCAATTATCATCTTAATTCAAGGCCACCAGCCAGAGAACATGACCTAAGCACCTCTACAAATCAACCACCACACACAGCAGAGCTGCCACTCACAGCTAAGTCACAGAATAAAGGAGCTTGGAAGGGCCTCTGGAAGACACCCAATTCACCCTCCTGCTCAAAGCAGTCTAATTAGATTAGAGTGCTCAGGGACTTGCCTGGGTAGCTCCGAGGATGGGGATTCCACAACTTTTCTGGGCAACCAATTCTAATATTTGACCTATTTCACTACAAAGCACATAGTGCTTGCAATTTGGCTGAATCATTAATTCAGAAAATTGTTTCTCACACATTAAAATAATCAAGACCACATGGAGTCTATCCCATTACAACAAATAGGAAAATATGGAGGAGTGTGTAAAGAAGGGAGAGGAAAGATCAGTGTGAAGATAGCTTCACTCAAACCAGGAAAAATAATGGCACATCTTTTCATCAAGCCTTGAATTTCTGTTCTCTAGGACAGACCCCACAACACAACAGCCAATGCAGGTGAAGTCACAGAGGAGGGGAAAGAGCAGTAGGGAGACAGTGTTCCCTTCATTTATCATCTTCCTGCCTCTATTTGAAACTGTTCCACTCTATCCTGCTACAGAAAAATGGTTTTCATGCAGGAACTGAAAATGCCACCTCAGCATCAACTGTTAGCAAACACTCAATTCTCTTAAGGGCTGACAAAGAAAACAAGTGTGGTGACAAACACTCATGTGGACAGAACCTGTGGTGACTGTCAAGAACCATGATCAGAACGGGAAAAGTAATCTTGACTTTGCCGAACCAAACTGTGAAGTGATCAAAATCCTGTCAAGGAAATCTTTTAGCACATAAGGAAGCTGGTTTGTATGTCACATAAAAGCAAAAACCTCAAAATTCAAGATTATAACCTTCTACTTGACACACCACCTGGATAATTTGAGCCATAAAAACAATCTCTAAGCACCCCTGAATTAATTATGATATCTACTGGAAACAGTAGATTCCCTTCTTCAGAAAAACACTTTCCAGCTAGCCCCAACCCTATGACAGAAGGAGAAAGAGGAAACAGAGCAGTAGTTTATAATTTAAAAACAAAACAACTTTAACATACAAGATATTAATATGTTTAGTGCTCCTGTGTCAACCACACAAAAAGTTCTCAGAGCACCGTGGCAATAACTTCACACTTCTGATTAGATTTAGGAGGAGTAGAGAAATTACAACGAGATTACAAAAAATGGTGATTTTTCTTCTCTTTTCTCCCCCTGGTTCCTGCCAAACCATCAGCACATATTAATACACTTTAGGTCTGGGTATTTGGCACTTAGCATGAAGGCCAATAGTTTTGGGGGACATAAAACCTGAATAACAAATACTGAGACTAAATTCAACTCATCCCAACTTCAATATATATAAGAAAAAGAAAATAAATAAGGGTGAAGACTGTAAAGGCATCAGGACAACTGTAAACTGTTCTAAGTGAAAAAACAGTAAATCAAGATTTCAAGTAGGAATCCCTCAGGCAGGAATCCTTCAGCTTCTTTATTTTACTTTTTTAAGTAACAAGACAGGCCATCTTCACCCCTCCCAGAAGGACCCCAGTCACCAACAAGTTCCTATGAAGCAACAGGAAAAGCATGAAGCTAGAGAGCTGCAACACTGTCAGAAGGAAGCAGCAATCTTGCCTTTCTTTGGAAAAGGTTCAGCAAGTAGTATTTAGAGTATGTGAAGTTTAGAGAAAGCTGTCAGTGAGCATCTCCTGAGAGGCAGTACCACACACTGCTACTAGACAGAAGGGTAGGGAACCCACTGTCCTGCCAGGGTTACAGAAACCATAGGAGCAGCTTTTACCACCTAATGCCCACAAGCAAAAAAAAAAAAGAAAAAAAGAGGCCAAGCACTTTTCCTCTTCACTCAGCTGTTTTACAATTGCAAGCCAAAGGTCAACTATCTTCACTCACTTTTGGAAACCAGCCACAAGATTACTAACAACCAGCTTAATGGCTCCAGTTCAAGTGCTATTCAATCAGGTCCTAAATCTGTGGGTAGGCAGCAGTAATGGCACATGACATCACAGGCAAGTTATCTGCTGAGGTCAGAGCAGCCAGACTGGGCATCTCTGCCTTCTCTCCACACAGGGAGAAGCATGGACTTCCAAGGAATGGGAATTAAGCTATTAAGAGATTTTGTTCTTGTGTTGTGTGGCACATTTTTCTACAAATCAATGCTCTGCCATCCTCTAACAGGCAGCCCTGTTCTCTGGAGCACATCACCACAGGTGTCTCACTGTTAAAAGGCTTCATCATACATGAAGTAACACATGGCCCTCAGCAAGGGACACTGAAGGATGCAGTGCATTCAACATGTTACAAGTCTATTCCTCTTCCCAACTCTTTTGAGGACAGGAGGATTGACCTGGTTAATGAGAGACATCACATGGGGCACATGACTGGGATACCCCTAAGATTTCTTAGTCATGAGCAGAGCTCTAACAAACAGATCTGGCATTTTGGGTGGAAATTAATTTCCACAACTTCAAACATATTTGAAGTGAAACAGATTTTTCAAAGCAACAAAGTTTGTCAGTATGGGTAAACTGGAACAGTGTTTGGTTTTATTTGTCTGAAATTCGCCAGCTTTACACAGTGAATCTCAGCACACTGCACAGAACTCAGCTCAACTATGTGCTGAAGGATTCCTGAAAGCCTCGATGCTTCCACTGACTTCAGTGATAATCTTGAGCAATTTACCACTTCTGTGGTTCAGTTTATGCATCAATAAGGTAAACATGTAAAATTTGTGAGCATTTTCATATGAATATGAGCTGAAAAGTAAGTAAATGCAGATTGAATAACTGAACTGTGCATAAATGCTTTGAGGAAGTGTTCAGCCTAGGTTTTGGGTAAAGTAGGAGAATCCTGTGTATTCTAGGAAAAATATAATTATTAATGTATACATATATTTATATAACAGCATACATATACTTTTATTTTTGTGCCAAAATTTGTATCTATGGGATGACATCAAGTAGCCAGGACTCAAGAACATCTTACTACCAGCCACTCTTCATAGATGCAAGACTTTTAACACAAACTAAACTTCAAAAATGCTAAATAAATGTATTTTTCCTTTAGTTCTTATAGAACATATTTTTAAACAAGTGAAATTTTTATTATCTTTTTTAATCTACTTAAACAAATTTCTACCCCAAACTAAATGAAAATAGCTGAGAATACACTTTACAATAAACTATATTTCATTAAACTTCATTTATCCTTCCTGTTCAGCATTTTCTAAAAGCTGACTTCAGCTATGCTATACTTCAAATACACTGTAAAAGTTGAGGGCAGCTAGTAGTAACCCGAAAGAGAAGAACACAGCTCAGGTTTAAAAACAAAAACAAGGTTGTCACAAAAGGTTTCCAAAATTCTAACAGTCTCACACATTTAAAAATAGCACTAGGAAATATCCTGGTAATTTACATACACAGTGGCACTGAGGTGTACAGGTCTAACAGGAGTTTTTAGGCCAATTATGGGGCAGGGTCATGTAGGACATATACAGATGCAACCATTTTATAAGTTAAAATCTCAAAGCATGATATGCTTTAGCAACCTTTATCTGTTTATTGCCTCACACTTTTAACAACGCCACAGTTGAAATATCAGCTATAAAAGATACATAGTAGGTTTACACATAAAGGTTCTTTTTTCTAGCTTATTTTAAAGCAGTAGTTAAAATCAAGCTCTTTCCTGGTGAAAAATGTTGAGCAGATGAGTAATCCCACTGAGGTCTGCAGGACTTGATTTGTCAGCATACACACAGTTACAGCCTTACATCTGTAGGAAAAGCACCTCTCAAAACTGCTTCTACTCCAAGCATTTTAGAAAAAAAACAGCTTAAAGTACGTTAGCACCAAATACACCACATTAGGAAGGTAAAGGCCACCCTTATGGAGAAATAGTGACTGTGAATGAATTCCATTAAAGCATTCTGCAATATGGCTCTTATTACTTGACAGTAACAAAGCTTTGAGCTACACTTCACCGAGGCCAAATCACTGAGGATTTTTGTATTTTACACCCCCACAAAATAAAATTTTAGGCTTGTTCTATGTATCCAGTTTTATTACAGTTGTAGAAACTCAACCGTTTTTTCAAATTCCTGTAATATAGGCAAGATGAAGTCTAAAAAGCCTTTGATATACTGAAAGAACTATAGACTAAAATTCCTTTAACGCACTCCAACATTCACTTACATCTGCACAGATCCATTATATATTCAGCCACAAGCTTATCACTTCAATTCATCACAACTGAAGATAAAACTCAGCTTCAATATTTGACAGCCTGATGCTAAAAGATTATGTACTGAGAAATAATCCAATCACTGTTCTTTGATATTAGAATCCTTGGCAGGAGGCAAAGAAAAGCAATACCAAATTGATCTTGATTACTTCATGGGGCTTCCTCTCATAATCTCTACACTGAATTCCCCTTTATCTTGTACTTCTGCTTATTTGCTGCCGTGTCTATGACTAAATGTTCAAATATTCCAATCTCAGAAGAGATAATTGAGAGACATTAGGATGCATGCTTAATACTGAAACAAAACAGCCTCTCCTGTTCTAAGAGGTGACTGGGATTTAGAAGATCCTGAGGCTCCGTGTTGAAAGGAGACAGCATTCTCTGGGGACCTAAAAGAGGGTCAGGTCAGATGGACAGGAAGAGACTCAGAGAGAAACTGAACAGCCCAGCGCTAAATAGGGAACTCCCGAGCCCGAGCCCAGCACTTACCTTAAGGATATCCCCCCGTTTGAAGCTCAGCTCGTCATCCGCGGTGGCTTTGAAGTCGTACTTGGCGATGGCTTCCATGCTGGGGCTGCCGCGCCCGGCAGTGCGGGCGGTGGGCAGGAAGCGCTCCCCGAAGCCTCCGCTCCTCCCGCGGCGGCGGCTCCCGGCTCCGTGCGAGGCGCCGGCCCCGTCTCTCACATACAGGGAGGCCGGGGGACGATCCGCCCTAGGGGAGGGGGAGGAGGAGGAAGAGACGGGCCATTAGGGGAAGTGGCACGGATCGATGGCCGGGGCCGCGCCCAGCGTCGCTCCCTCCGCCCGGCGCGGCGCGGCCGCCGCTTCCTCCCGCCGCCGCTCGCCCGGGCCCGGCTCGCCCGAGTGACGCGTCCCGCGGCCAATGACCGCCCCGGCGCTCCCGGGGGCGGGAGCGGCACCGCCACCGGCCCGCCGGGAGCCGCTGCCGCTCCGAGCCCCGGGGCTCGCAGCGTCCCGCGGCGGAGCCCTCCCCGCTCCCGCCTCTCCCGGGGATCTCTCCCTCTCCTCGCAGCGGTAATTACAGCGATGTAACGGCGGGAGGACGTGGCCAGCCGGCCCCCCGGGGGCCCGGGAGGAGAGCCCTCGGCACCACGGGGCCGGCACAGCCCGTGGTAGGCGAGGGGATGCGCTCCGCTCCCCACCGGCTGCCCTGGGAAAGACCCGTCTGGAGATGCCCGCACCGATGGGTCGTGTCCCGCCATTCATACAGCTCCCGGCGATTTAAATACAAGCTAGACAAAGCAGAGAGTGCTACTGGGTTTTTGGAATGGAAATGCCTATCAGAAAGTGTCTTCAAATAATCTCACACAGAAACAAAAGTTTGGGCTGACTCTAAGCGAAAGCAACCATCCTAAAATTCCAGTGCTTTGAGTAGCAGAACGCGTTAAAAAATCTTTGTAATTCAGTGTGACAATCAGTGAGTTCGTGTCTCTTACGGGCTCAGAGAAGACATTAAATCAAACCGAGCAAGTCATAGATACACACCGAAACCACCTGAAAAGGCTTAAATTCTGCTCTCAGGTTTGAATGGGAACGATTTTTATTAACTCCAACTACACTTGATAGCACAGAAGCTAACTAATCAGAAAAATACACCAAAACACAAATACGACAGTCTGTAAGTTAAAACCCACCATGAATACCTCCTTGAAGAGCTAACAGAGAGCTGGCACTTGTCAGTGACAACTCAAGACCGAAGAGATCTGACAAACACTGGTGAACCCACGCACCTGCTAATTCAGGCTCTGGTTGTGGCCCAGAAAGAGCCCTGCTGCATGCAAAGGCAGCAGATGGCAACAGTAATTTCTCATTTCAGAGAAAAACCTGCCTTACATAAATGCAGTTCAGCAATTAACATGCTTATATTCCATGAGCCCCATGTTTGCCCAACCTTCAGTTCCCTGTAGAGAATAACGAAGCTCGAGGCAAACACTGGCGTTGAGATTCTATCACAGGAAGCTGGCAGAATCAAAGGAGGTATTTACAGGATTCACCTTGATCAAAAAAAGACTGGCTTAGTAGGGGTCCCCACATGGACAGAGCTTTAGGATTTCTCTCGTCTTCCTACACAGCACTACTGACAGGTCAGCAAGGGTGAAAACAGAGTCACTTGCCACAAAGATCCCAACAGAACTATCTCCCTGTGCTACCATAACTGATGGAAATCAATGTACTGGATCCAAGCTTTGACCAACACACATAATGAAATCCATGAAGTGGATCATCTTAACTACATTTTGGTAATTATGAAAGACTTAATTTTAGTCTCAAGGCTGATGAAAAACCTTCTTTCTAATGTGAGTCTTCCACATCATACCAGCACACTCATCCAAACAGCTATTATTACTTCCCTTCACCAATAGTGTCTTCTCTTTGCTGCTTCTACTGTGTTGTGTTCACCATCTCCTCATCTTTCCAACCTGGCCTCTTGGGGTTTGTCAACTGATGGAACTGATAATTTTCTGCTATTATAGCACCATTATGGGCAACATGAATGACAATGTATGAAGCAATGGAAAATGCAAACTACTCAACGCTTGTTGTCTACCTGTCCTGTATTTTTCTTGATAAACATAATCTATTTCTAGTCCTTCTTAAATATTACTGGCAGCAACCTTTGAGTGTTTCTAATACCACCATGCCACATGTGGAAACAAACACCTTCAGCCAAGGGAGCATAACTTGAAAACCCCAAGTTCCAAACCTAAGAATGTAACATCAAGTTGCACAACGTAAAGTATACCCTAAAGGCTTGATACACATTGAAAAAAACAAACTGCTTCAACTTATAAATATTCCTTTTTTAGGGGCACACAAGTATTGCTACCCAGCACTGCACTACCAGCTAATAGTTAAGTTTTTTTAACTGAAGGTGTTAATACACAACTTTCTTAGAGAAACTGATGCAGCATTTCCAAGAACTATACTGGCATTTCCCTGAGCTTAGTAACAACACAATGTCGGGAAATTTTCCAGCACAATTCAAGATGAAAGAGATTCATCATGCAATACTCTTTAAACATGCATTAGTACTACTACCACCATCAGATATATTGTCAGCATACAAAGGAGTGATGTTTCCAGGTAACAATGTTAACAGCAGCTGCAGTGTGCAGCAAAACTTTAACTTTCCTGACTTTAGACAAAAGTGTAGCTGAAGTTTAGGCATTAAAGTTGTATCTGAAAGAGGGAAAAGCTTTGAAAATATTAAACCAAGATATTCACACAGCAAATGTTAGGAAAGGTAAAGCCAAGGCATAATTCCCTTAAATTCTCTTAAGGAAGCATTTGCTGCTTACAATATTATTAAATAAGTTCTTACACACATTCAGCCATGCTGTTATTAAAACATGAGCAAGCCAAGTGCGTGAGTGGGGAAAAAAGCACAGCTGTATCTGGTTCAGGCAGAGAGCAGTGCAACAGGACACGTTACTGCAGTGAACCCAGTCCACAGACTGCAAGTGGAGTAAGACTGGTATGAATGAATAACAGCCAATATATGAATACAATGATTACATGTTACAAAAATTTTCAGATGATCTTGCTAGAGAAATGACTAAGACTTCTCAAAATATCAGTGTTTCTCACCTTACTGTGACTTGGGTTAAGACTTCCTTTGCTCTTAAAAATACTGGGAGGGGTAAGAGGAAGAAAAGGCAGCAGATGCAGCCAACAGTAAATGCTCATTAGTAGTAGTGCTGCAGCTCAGGATGGAATAAAAGTAATTATAAATACAAACCTCCCTGTAGTGGCCAACAGGAAACAATTCTCATGCTCACTTCAACAGATATTTCAAAAAGCACACAGGCAAAGGTGAGCTTTTTTCATTACTCTTAGAAACAGCATGGTTTTTAAACAAAAGAGAGCTTTCTCATTGTTCTCTTTTCACTGTTTTACTGCTCTTCTGGAAAGTGATACAGGCAGGAATAGAATAACAGACAGTTTAGAAAAGCCAAAGAGAGGCAAGATAGATTCACTAGGAGATTTTGGAAAGAATCAGATCCTCAACTTCATCAACTGTTTTAGGACAAAACATTATTGAGGGTGTTGGAAAGAAAAATGTGTGCATACATCATCGGGAAGACATGCAGAAATGCAAGTGTCAGGCTCTAGACAAAAGAATAGAAAGTTAAAATTGTAAGGGCAGAACACTAATTCAAATTAACCAAATAAGGAAGTATAACATAATAAAGGAACAAAGTAAAATATAAATTAGATTATTAACATATAAACCCCAGAACATTCAGGATCACAAATTATCCCCCTGATCTACCAGCTTAATGCGATTCAACTTCCTTCAGCACCAGACAACTCAAGATATTACTTACAAAACTAAGCTACAGTACAAAGCACAGAAAACTTCACCTCTGCCAGAATTTATTTACTGGCAGTTCTTTTTTTTTTTTTTTTTCTTATTTTAAACATTGTAAAACTGCTTTAAAAGTTACAAACTTAGCTGGTATGATGAAACACCCAAATATGGCATGACAATTAACCTAAGAGATGATAACAACTGAAAGGTCTTTTTGTGGCACAAATTCTAAATTTCCAAAGTTGGCACAGAAATGGATTACAAACAACACTGTGTTTGAAGATTGATTAACCATCTGTGGTCCTTCAGATTTTGTCCCTTGACCCCAGGCATTTAATAATTTTTGAAACAAAGAATTAACTTCCCTAAGCACTGTATCTGTGAATTGCTCTTGCAGTTACTAACTGTGCTACAGAATAGTTTTCACTGTAGGTTATAAAAGAGGTGTCTGAGTCAGATGTTGTGGGAGTTAACAAGGCTGCATCCTTGTCTTCTACAGATTATTTGAAACTATATTGGCAAGTCAAACCTTGTCCCACAAAACCAGCACTGGTTCTGAAGAAGGAGGTTCAGAAGAGAAGGAAGAGGCCAAGAGAAAAATGTCCTTCTCCGTCACAGAAACTCACGTTTGAAGCATGACCCCAAACGTGTTTGGAGACAGTGCAGCAGGGATGTTATCCTGCCTACAGGGTACTTGCAGCATTTTAACCTTTGGAAGCGGCCTTAAGTTACAGAACTCGTTTTGGGGAATACAGAAGGTAAGCCCCAAGAACCACGACCAGCCACACGCCGCAGCCCTAGAGCAGAGAGAAAAGCGACCCCCGCCCGGTGCTGCCCGTACGCGAGCCGGGAATCTCGCCGAGCAGATGACGCCTCTGGAGCCCAAAGCTCATTTCCACCGCCCCCCCACCGGCAGAGCCCGCATCCTCTCCACCCCCCGCGACCCGGCCAGGCCCGGCGGGACACGGGGCCGGCGCCGAGGCGGAGCGCAGCGAGGAGAGCGGAGCACCGCGGGGCCCAGGCCGCGGCACCGGGGGCTCAGCGTGCGCCCTCCCCGCTCCCCGCCCCGGCACGGCCCCCGGCGGGCGGCGGCCCTGCGCAGGCCCGGACTCACCGCGCAGCGCTGGGCGCTCCCGCCGCCTGCCCGGCCCCGCGCGGCCCGGCCCGGCCGCCGCTCCAGCGCCGCCTCAGCCGCCGCTCCGGCCCCGGCCCGGCCCCCCGCCCGCCGCGCCGCCGGTCCCGCCGCAGCTCTCGCGAGAGCCGCGCTGTCAGCGCCCTCCGCGGGAGCCTGCGCGCTCCCCGCCCCGCCGGCAGCGCGGGCACGCCTCGCGCGTGCGCAGCGCCGGCCCGACCTGCCCTGCCCCGGCCGCGGGCGTCCGAGCGCGGAGCGGGCGGGGACAGGCGGCGGCCGAGCGGCGCGGCGCGCACCGGCCGCCACGGGTACCTGAAAGGAGGGCGTAGCCAGGCGGGGCTCGGGCTTTTCCAGCCAGCTAGCCATAGGACAAAAGCGCAGCGTGAAAGCTGCGCCAGGGGAGGTTCTGGTTGTATATCAGGAAGAATTTTTCCACCGAAACGGTTATGAACCGCTGCAACGGGCTGCCCAGCAGGTGGTGGAGGCACCGTCCCTGCAGGTGTTTAAGGAAAGACTGAACCTGGCACTCAGTGCCATGGTCTCGAGGTGTTGGATCACAGGTTGGCCTCGCTGGTCTCCGTGGTCTTTTCCAACCAAATTGAGTCTGTGATTCTGCTATCGAGGCTCTGTTAACACCTTGGGGAGGAGGCCCTGAGTTTCTGGAGGAGAAATCACGCTGGCTTTGTGCACAATACTTGCTTAATTTGTCAGTGTCTCCACTTCTCTGTAAGACAGGGCCATGTGCTACACCATGGAGCCAGCAAGGAGGAATTGATCTAGAAATTCTCTAACTACCAGAGATGCACCCCAGCTTGTCCAGGCAGTGTTTGAGCAGACACCGAGGCGTGCAGAGCTGCTCACTAAGCTCAGAGCAGAGAACACACCTGGTGAGCCGTTCCTTGACAACTGCCATCTCTCCTGAGCAGTGATTAAGGCACCCATGCTGTAGGAACAAATAGTTTAATCACGCATGGCAATTACAGCATCCACAGAGACAAAAATTCAGATTGCACAGGCAGCTAATGTCAGGGTTTGTATGGATGACCCTCCTGACATTCTTTTAGCTTGAAAATACTCTTAATTATACAGTAAAGCAGTTGCTCAGGTAAACATCAGGCCTCAATCCTTTGATAAAGGCATAAATAAAAAAAGCTTTCCTATGGCTCTAGAAAGGAAAGGTGGTTTCTGAACAAGAAAAGCCTCTCTAGGACTGTTACTATAGAGTTACTGTTGTCTCTCCCCTCTCCCCCACCTCCAGAAAAACTGGAAGTGGGCAGTCAAAGCACAGCACAACCACAGTGTCCAGATATCAACTGCAGAACTCATGGCTGGGCTCATGTAAATTTAGGATTGTTGTGAACCGAAGTCTACAATTTAGGCACAGATAACTGATATTTTGTTGTATGACAGAGATGCACATTTTTAGCCTCCAATGAAATATTTTTTAAAAAACAAACCATGGCACTGGTTGCTCTCCTCAGCTGGAGTCTGCCAGGAGGGTTATGGTTACATCCATACCAAGACCACAGTACCATCAGAATATTTACCACAACCTCAGACAATCCAGCTTATAAAACATGTTCTGCAAACATTGCCTGCTTACATTCTCATTATAAATGCTTAAGAAGCTTGATAAAGATTGGATTAAATTTGTGCTTTAAATCCTTGGTAAGTTCATTTTCTCATCCTCACAACATTGTCTTTAAGGGGTTTTAAGTTATTCCCAGATTTGGGTTTTGGGGGAAGATGTGAGTTCCTCCCATACTTCATGCAAAACATTGGAAAGGGTGGAGAAAAGGAGCATTAGGAGTTGAGATGTTACAAATGTTTCAGACATTCTTTCTGAGGATGCAGAAATGATTCATTCAGAAGTGACACCAAGATTGATGAAATTAGAGCTGGATTCCAAGATTGCTCAAGTCCCCAGTACTTGTTCATAGAACAGTCCTACAGAATCTCATGTTTCATGTATGCCCTCAACATGGGGATTTAGAAGTTCATAGTAAGTTTCTCTAAGTTAAATAACATCTCAAAGAAGCTATAGGAGCTACTTTTAGCTGGACTTGAAAAGCCAGCTATGGCCAACAGCTGCCAGTTGAATGACAGCTACTTTATGGGGCTGCAGCTGCCTGACTGTAAAAGGGCAGTCCTAGAAAATCAAACAAGCAACAAATTTCAGAAATAGCAGAGATTAGAGTGTTACAGAAAGGTATTCCTGACTGAGGAATTGCTGAGATGTACTTGCTTGCAAACCAATCCATGTAGAATGTTCCCCCAGCTTACAAACAAGTTAATACTTTATAGAAACACACAACTTATTGTGTAATACTGTGCAGCTTTGCTAAAGCAAAAGCCAAAAATCTTGACATAGCTGTGAGCAAGGGTGAAATAGGCAATAAAGACATTGTTTTGCCAAGGTTCAATTTCTTTTTTTTTTTTTTCAGTCTAGGAATAGCTTGAATTTTCTATGACAGTTGATGATAATAAAATCTAATCCAAGATTAGCACTGAGTATTTTAAGAAGGTAAGAAAAATTCTTGTGTCTGACCTTTCTTTTGCATACCTTTTTAAACTTCTCAGAGCAGTCTGGAGAAATAAATGTATGGGTTTTGCTATCAATAGATCAGAGGAATATTTGTTAAAATGGGTCAAGCAGCCACTAAAGGTTTAAAATTGCTGCTTGGAATAGTCCTATTAATGCCATGTTCCTAAGGCTGTTCTCCTCAGACATGAGGATCTGTCATCATCATGAACTACAATACACTGTTGACAATTTAAGGAACTTTGTGTTTGTTGCAATGTTTTTTTTTAAAGGCATCTGGCACAATAATTGTAATGAAATACATTTATAACATACACCTTTCTTCCTCTGACGCATTTCCTGCTTTCAAAGAATTGTAGTGTTTTTTTTAAAAAAAACAAACCCTTGACTGGCTCAGCACATCCTAAGATGCTTCAAACTTCATGCTGTGATTCTGCATTGTATTGCTGCAGTTTGTATAGGGAACACTCACTCTGTGTGTTGTGTATAAGTTGTATCTAAGCAGCCTGATGTACGAAGCAGGACACAAAGCTTGCTCCCATGGCAAATCAGACATTCTGCCACAGGGAATGTGGAATAGATGCAGACAGGCCCCGATCAATTTTCTTCCCTGTTGAAAATTTACTGCCAGAAGACTGTTCTGACAGCTGTGGGGGGACTGCCTGGATATACACCTCTCTCTGAGATGTGCAGGGATACAGTGGGGAATGACAGGAATGTAGGCACAGCATGGAGGGAATGGGGAACGCTGGGAATGGGGCTGTTGAGATTTATTGCATGAATATTACCTTCTTGCCTTTTTCTTCCCACATCAACCCATGTTTGCCTCAGTGTGATAATCAAACCAGAGACATTAGCCATAAAATCCAAAACTATTCAATTTACTACATATTTGGGTCTGTCTTGGAACAAAGTTGCTTCAAACATGCCTGATGCAACCAAAGAGCAACAAATATGACCTACTCTAGGAAGATACTGAATACCTTGAGAAAAACCTAACACTGAGGTTCTAAAGTCAGACCACAGACTGAAACAAAACTGCATGTACCACATATAGACAGAACTAGCAACAAATTCACTTTTTTGGTCAGCTCATATTAAACTGGACACCAAGGAGAAGAGTCTACAAGACTTAACTGGTATTACAAGAGTTTCTCTAAAACCTTAATTCATGATTTAGGTTTCTGGTCTATAGGATTTCCCCACATGCCCATATTTGGAACATCATGTGATAGGACTAGTTAGGGAATCAGACAGCAAAGCTAAGGAAAAAACCCTGTCCAAATGTGTTTTCTGTGTCTGTTCTTCAGAGTAGGATAATTAATGATTTTGGGTAACTGCTTTGCTGTCTATTGGTGAGTTGGTCTCATTTTGATTTGCAGCTTTAGGTTAGTGCTAAAGGCAACAATATCAAAGGGATGGAATAGATGTATGATAACAGATAATAGATGTGTAGACATATAAATATATAGATATCCATATTCTGCAAACAGGGAAACAGAGCAGAGAGGGCTTGCCCAAAGCCATGCAATAAACTAATGCCAGTGTTCAGCAGCGTTAGGAACAGAATTGGCAGTTTTTAACTTCTGAGCCAGCTGAAAGCCTCCTCATGCTCAGCGCTGACTTCTCACACACACCCTGAACTGTTATCACAACTGTCTCTGTAAATCTGCCCGAGTGCAATCAATAAGTGTTGCTGCTTGTGACCCAGACAGAACAGCTGATCTGCCAGAACAGCTTCACAATTTTACTCATTACAGATCTCAAGAGCACTTGTGAAGCAGTTTAATCACCATGTGAGACAAACAGGGGCTGTTCTGACTTTTATAGACCAGGAGATGAGAAAACTTAAGCTCAAAACTACCAGAAAAAAGGTCCAAACCAAAACCACCCATGAGTCTTCCACTCAATCAGATTTCTTTCCATACCACCGGTGTTTCTATGGTCACAAAGAAGAAATGACAAGATTTACAAAGCTGACTGTGTAGGAAAGGCTGTTCTACCTGGGACCTGAAATAGCTGTCACTGGCATTAAGAAATTAAACAATAAAAGCAGTTGGCTGGGGTCACCCAGGACTGCTTAAGCTCTGAAACAGATCCAACTACAGTGTGCCATCCCCCTTTCTTTAGTACAAAAGGACTTCTGCTTTCTTCCTACTCCCAATCCAGTCATCTGTCCTTTTCAGGACAGCTTGGAATTGTCAGTTCAATTACTTCTCAGTTTGGAGAAAAACAAAGCAGATGCTGCTTATTACAAAAAGGTAGAATCTCTCTCTTTTGAGAAATATCTTATCTCACTTATTTTTTACAATTAGACACTGAATTACATGCAACTCCCTTATTTATTAAGCAATACACAGGAGCTGGGAAGTAATGTAATTCAGCTAAAATGAAATGCTATCTTCCCTTCAGCCTTGGTAAAGGTGGTGGTCATCTCAACTACTCCTTTTGATTTTTAGGACTCAGACAGCTTTTGTATCAATCTTCCCCTTTCAATTCCTTTTTCTACTACACATATTATAATTATAGTCATTTCTTAGCATCTGTCCTGAAATATGCAAAGGGGTGGGGGAATCAGACAAACAGCCAC